AAAAAGATAAAAAATAAAGGAAAATAAAAAGTTACATCTACTAATTAATAAGAAATAATGGTACCAAGGTTTTAAATGTCGATATCGATGGGAATGTCTAATGTCGAGGTCTCAATTTCATGAAAATATCGATAAAATGTTGACGTTGATGAATATTTCTCTAAAAGTTAAAAAAATTAAAAATTGTAAAAAATATTTAAATTAATAAAATAAATATTTTCCTATTTATAAATTAGCTAGAAATAATTAATATTAATATTATGTATATATATTAGTTTTTTATCGATTTTCTTGTACTATGATGGAAATGTCGATTTACCCTCCCATGTCAATATCAAAGTTATGAAATTATAGATATGTCGATAGAAATATCTATGTGTCGACGGATACTTAGAACCGTCCCGATAACATTAGTTACAAAAGACCTGGAGTCTACTTGAAAAAAAATATATATTATTTTATTTGTATAATAATAGACACATTGATGGAGGAAGCACGTAAAATTTGAAATTTTCTGTGGGGAATGATACCGTACGGGCGTTCACGCTTGTGGGTCCCACCAGACGTACAAAAACTGAAGTTTCCGTAAATTTATCAAAATGAGAAATCCACTATACGACACCGTACCAATCCCACTTGCAAATTCGCGTGGGTCGCTAAATCCTCCACCCAATAAGTTTCTGCCACGTCGCCATGATGCCGCAAACCCGTACTCGCGCCCGTACCGGATCCCGCCCTTCTTCCCCTTCCTCATTTTGTCCTCTGCGAGAACTCATTTCCCACTTCCACGTAACGAAACCAGAGAAAGAGAAAGAACGGAGGCTCTGAGACAATGATGGATCGGGTCCGGAAATCCGGTTCGCGTCAGATTCGGATCCTCTCGAAATCCGCCCACCACCCCCTCCTCCGGCTCCGGCTCCTCTTCCTCTTCGTCCCCACTTAGAACAGACGAAGATCCGTTACCCATTTCTTCAGAATTTTTTTCGTTTTCCCAATCTTCAATTTCTGAGTCAATTCTCAATTCAATTTGTTTTGCGAATCCGCCATGCCTTCACCTCCTCCTTCATTAGTCCTTCACTTATCTGAAGACGTCCTCCTCCGGGTTCGCAGCAGCCTCACCGACGATTCCGATGCCAAATCGTGGCGGCGGGTTTGCAAGGACTTTCACCGAGTCGATTTAGTTTCTCGTAGAACTCTGAGAGTCCTCCGAATCGAGTTTCTGACGAGTTTACTTGCTAAGTTTGGCAATATCGACTCGTTGGACCTCTCGGTCTGCCCGCGGATTAACGATGGAACAGTGCCCATTCTTCTGTGGCCTGATTCGTCGAGGTGGAGTCGGCGGCTGAGATGTTTGATTCTGAGCCGATCGTCGGGATTGAGCTACTCCGGGTTGGAGCAGCTGGTACGGGCTTGCCCTGAGCTGGAGGTGATCGACATGTCGTACACTTGGGCGTTTGGGGATAGAGAAGCGTCGGCGATATCGAATGCTAAGAGGTTGAAGGAGCTGAGGTTGGATAAGTGTTTGGGGATTACGGATGTGGGTTTGGCGAAAATTGTGGTTGGGTGTGGGAGATTGGAGAGGTTGAGCTTTAAGTGGTGCTTGCAGATTTCTGATCTTGGAGTTGATCTTCTGTGTAAGAAGTGTTTGGATTTGAAGGTTCTTGATTTGTCATATCTCAAGGTCTGCTTGCTTGCTCCCTACATTTATTTATTGCGCTTTTTGAATTGGTTTTGCTTTCATAATGGAGTAAAAGTGTGTTGAAGTAGTAACTTGGTAGAGAAAAAATGCATTAGAGAAGTTGTTTGGGAGTTGTGTTTAAAAACACATTTGTGAAAGGGATGAATGGGCTTTATGGAGGACAGTGGAGAACAGAAGTCAATCTTGAGGGGTATTCTTTTTGAGAAATTGACAGCACAAGCACAATGTATTTCTTGTTCTTTTTAAAGTTAGGAAAAAAAAAAAAGAAAGAATACTATTCTTGAAAATAGTCTTTATGCATCAACTTTTAGAAGTAAACCCAAACATTTTCTTTTTCAGATTATATAAAGCGGATACTCTGTAACTTGTTGCTTGCAGCTTGTTTGGTTGATTACTCTTGAAGCACTTCTCTGTTCTTGTTTTCAGTACTTTTCGTAAGAATGATGATTAAGCATGTTGTAAAAGTTTAGGTTTTTGTGTTTTCCGTTGGATCTTATTTTAGAAAACAGGTCGTAAGGAAACACTAAAAAATAAAAGAAAAGTAATTATCCAAAAGTACTCATTGAGTTTTTGTTTTCAAACTTTTTATTTTGGCAATACAGTTTGGGTAAAAATTTGTCAACTGAACTTCATATTGGGTTAATAACAGGTGACAAATGAATCAATGTGCTCGGTAGCTTCTTTACCAAAGCTTGAGGTTTTGGTTATGGCAGGCTGTCTTTCAATTGACGATACTGGTTTGCATTATCTTGAACATGGGTGCCCTATTCTAAAGGTACTTACGAACAAGTGCAGTATGATTCTTTTTTTGCACAATATGTTACATAAATTGGAGAAAACTAGCAAGATGTCCGAGCTTGTGCTTCTTTTAATGGGTTGCAGGAACTTGATATTTCAAGATGTGATGGCATTAGTGCATATGGCTTAACATCTATAATTAGAGGTCATGATGGTCTTGAGAAGCTTGATGCAGGCTACTGCTTCTCCGTAAGATAAGCTGCCTTTTTCTGATTTGGCCTCTTATTTCACTGTTCTGAAGCTTCGACCTTGGTTTTTGCTTTTAGGAGCTTCCCATTGACTCTCTTCACTGGCTGAAGAACCTTAAGTGTCTAAAAGCAATTAGGCTTGATGGTACTCGACTGTCTAGCTCGTTTTTTGATGCAATCAGTGTCCATGTGGAAATTGGGTTGAGCAAATGCAATGGGGTGACTGATGCTAACATCATTCAGCTGATTTCTCGCTGTAATAGCTTGAAAGTCCTCAATTTAGCATGTTGCCCTTCCATCACTGATGCAGCAATTTCTTCAATGGCCAGCTCTTGCCCGAAAATTGTGTCGCTGAAGTTAGAATCGTGCAACATGATCACTGAAAGGAGTCTTGACGAGCTTGGATTGCGTTGCTCCTTACTCGAGGAACTTGATCTTACTGATTGTTGTGGTGTAAATGATAAGGGTACTGTCAACTTTTAGTTTGATGATTGCACTGTAATAGCATACATCCATTTGAATCATTATACTAACTTGATTGGGTTTTCTTTGCAGGACTTGAATGCTTATCAAGATGTTCACAATTGTTATGTTTGAAATTAGGACTATGCAGTCATATAACAGACAAAGGGTTGATCAAGATTGCTCTTAACTGCACAAGGATTTATGAACTCGATTTGTACCGGTAACGTGAGAATTCAGAAATTTATTTGATCTTTTTGAAGAACTGCTAAACAAAGAATAGACYGTCAATGTATCTACTATTGAATTGCAGTTGTCTGGGTATCGAGGATGCCGGTTTAGGAGCTCTATCAAATGGTTGCAAGAAATTGATGAAACTTAACTTGTCCTATTGTAAAAATGTTACAGACCGAGGAATGGAGTACATCAGCCACCTTGAAGAACTCTGCAACTTAGAGATACGTGGGCTTCAGAATGTCACAAGTGTTGGTTTGACAGCAGTTGCAGCTGGTTGTAAAAGATTAGTAGACTTGGATATGAAACAATGTGAGAATGTCGACGATTCTGGCTTTTGGGCACTTGCCTCGTACGCTCGGAATTTGCGACAGGTATATGGATTCATCACTTGTGTTGTTTGGGGATTTATTATGAAATAATTGTTATAAAAATAGTGACCAATTGATGGATCATGTGAATCTAACTGCCCTACTTGAGGATAGATTTGATGGTAAGAGAATTCATTTATGTCTAACTGCACAAATGGAAATAATATACTTGTGGCAAATGCTGGTGATATTTAATGCTTTAAGTATTATTCAAAGGAGCTACTTCACTATGGTTAAAAGGCCATTTTCTCTGAGTTTTTTAGTCCCTACCTTTCACAAAGTTGCTTGAAGAGTGTTGGGATTGCTTTTTCCTTATGCTAAAATTGTTTTGACTATATAGTTAGAAATTATTTTTGAAGTTAGGATATATCTACTCCTTTTGACATTTTTTGTAGGAATGTACAGCACACTGCTTCTTGGTGGTGCATTAATTACAGCAAATTCTTTTGTAATCACAACATCCCCTTGTTCATGAACAATCAGAAAGAGTTGTTTAGCTTTTTGGGTGGGGTTGCCTCTACCCCAGCCCTTTCTTTTGTATCTTTCTTCTCTTTTTGCTGATTAATGAAAGGTTCCAAATGTTTCTTATAAAAAAAAAAAAAAAAAAAGAAGTTAGGAGCACTTTAAAATGCTTTTTTAGGAAGCATTTATTTATTTTTCCTTGAATCCTCATTGGTAAAGTATTTCAATTTAAAGAAATATCCCTCAAGCATTCCCAAACACTATTAAGTATGTTATGTTATTTGTATTTTTTTCTTGGGATGGGATCAAGTACCTGATTTATTATTTCGATTGTGGCAGTTAAATGTGGGCTCTTGTGCTGTATCAGATATGGGATTATGCATGCTGATGGGAAACCTTACATGCCTTCAGGATGCCAAGCTTGTAAACCTTAAAAAAGTCTCGGTACGAGGTTTAGAGCTTGCACTTAGGGCCTGCTGCCTCCGAATCAAGAAAGTCAAGTTGGATGCATCTCTCAGGTTTTTGCTCTCCTCAGAGATACTAGGAATTCTGAATGCTTGGGGTTGCAAGATTAGATGGGATTAGATCAAACCCGAGAAGCCAGCTTGGGATTTCTCGTCAATAATGCATAGCTGTTTCTCATGTTCTATTTGTACAGATCAAATTCAATGGAAGAAGTGCCATAGTTAGAAACTTCTTAATAAGCATTGATCGATGCATATAGATTGTAATGTATTGAACTATTTTGTTCCCCTCTCAATGCTGTGAGATTGGAGGTGAAGATAGAGTTTGAAAGAGTTGTGTTTTAAATCTTTAGTTGCAATAAGACGACACTTGGTAATCGGTAATCATCTATGCCCAGATTCTTTACTTGATGTCTTTCTACGGCATGTTGGTCTTTCTATATTGCTTTTTGTTGCTGAAGAGATTAATATCGGGAAATGTTTGAATTCTTCACCATGGGGGTTTGGAGGTTGAGAATCCTTGAAGCTTTAGAGAAGAATCCAATAGGAAGGAATAAAGAGAGTCGTTGCCTCAAAAGAAAGCATAACTTGAATCATGTCATGAGAAAAGGCATATAGTTGGAAAGAAGGAAAAATGTGAACTGATGAAAATTCATTGCCCTTTACTTTAGGTACAAACTATCCCCACTGCCTTTTCTTGTTATATATGCAAAAGTTTTTCACTGACAAGGAAAAAAAAGAAAGGACCTGATTAAACAATCTCCTTTCTTCTTTTTTCTTTCTCAATCATGTCAATAGTTTCTTTGCCCATTTATTTTTTAATTTTCATCTTTATTCCTGCATTACAAGTTTACTCCATTGACGTTTTCTACCCGAGTGAGCAAAATGATACTCTACAGTCCATGATTTCCCAGGTTTGTGCAGATGTTGAAGATCGGAATTCATGCATTTCAAACATACAACTTGAATTGGAAAGAAGTGGGAGCTCACGGTCGCATCCAAGTTCTGTCTTGAGTGCTGCAATTAGAGCGACTCTCAACGAAGCGAGACGAGCCATAGAATCCATAACGAAGTTCAGCACGTTCTCCTTTAGCTACCGTGAAGAAATGGCTATTGAGGACTGCAAGGAGCTTCTTGATTTCTCAGTGTCAGAGCTTGCATGGTCGTTAGCTGAGATGAAGAGGATTCGTGCGGGCGAAAATGAAGCTCCAGACGAAGGGAACCTAAAAGCGTGGCTTAGTGCTGCTCTCAGCAACCAAGACACTTGCCTTGAAGGCTTTGAGGGCACAGATAGACACATCGAAAGCTTCATTAGAGGAAGTTTGAAGCAAGTTACACTGCTCATTAGCAATGTCTTGGCACTTTACACTCAATTACACAGCACACCGTTTCGACCCCCTCCAAACAAAACGGCACAGAAAAATGAAAGTTCGGAGTTTCCAGATTGGATGATGGATAGTGAGCAGGAGCTCGTAAAATCTCATCCACATAGTGTTCACGTTGATGCAGTCGTCGCTTTAGATGGAAGCGGAGATTATCGTTCAATTGGAGAAGCTGTAAACGAAGCTCCAAATTATAGTAATAGAAGGTTCATCATATATGTGAAGAAGGGAGTTTACAAAGAGAATGTCGATATGAAGCGAAAGAAAACCAACATAATGTTTATTGGGGATGGTATCGGAGAGACGGTGGTGATGGGAAGTCGCAATTTTCTGCAGGGATGGACTACTTTCAGAACTGCAACTGTTGGTGAGTAGTTTAATGTGCATTTAGTTCAAGTAAAGTTTAGTTATTTTCATTTCAGTCATAGAAAACAAAGGTATTACTCTTCATCCGAGCACTTTAAGTTTCGTGTCATAAGAAGGTTTAAATTTTTTAGAATGGTATGTCGTTACATGCTTAATTCCATTTCAAACTCCGACTCCGCTTGCGAATGACATGTTTTCCTATATAAATGTTTTGGCTATAGCTGTTTCTGGGAAGGGATTCATAGCAAGAGACATGTCATTTCGCAACACGGCTGGACCAGCAAACCATCAGGCAGTGGCTCTCCGTGTCGACTCTGATCAATCAGCCTTCTACCGATGCAGCTTCGAAGGATACCAAGACACGCTTTACGTCCACTCTCTACGCCAATTTTACAGGGAATGCAACATATATGGCACCATAGACTACATCTTCGGCAACGGCGCAGCAGTGTTCCAAAAATGCAACATCTACACCAGAGTTCCACTCCCTCTCCAGAAGGTCACGATCACCGCGCAAGGCCGGAAATCCCCACATCAGAGCACAGGTTTTTCGATCCAAGACAGCTTTGTTTATGCAACTCAGCCAACTTATCTTGGAAGGCCATGGAAGCTATATTCAAGGACTGTCTTCTTGAACACTTACATGAGTGGTCTGGTTCAACCAAGAGGGTGGCTTGAGTGGTATGGCAATTTTGCTTTAGGCACATTGTGGTATGGAGAATATAAGAACTATGGACCTGGTGCATCCCTGTCGGGGCGGGTCAAGTGGCCCGGGTACCACGATATCCGAGATGCTGCTGTGGCTAGGTTCTTCACCTCCGAGCACTTCATCGATGCCCGATCATGGTTGCCGAGGACGGGTGTCAAGTTCACATTTGGATTGAGTAATTAAGTATTGCTATTGGATTGAGTAATTAAGTATTGCTAAGTTGTAGGTTTAGGAATTTGAATCTTTGGACATGTTCTTATTTCCTATGGTTGAATATAAGAATATGATGACTCTATCAGCAATTAGTTTTCTTATAAAATGTGATTTTATGATTCTTGGTGTTGGTGAAAGTTTGCGAGTTGAAATATTTGAGCTTAATAAACATTATTTTTTCGTGTACTCTCACAACATTAGTTTTTCGCAATTTAATTCACGTACTTTCAAATAGATTATAATTTCATCTCAAAATTTTTTAGTACGTAATAATTTAGTTCATGTTATTTAAAGTTTGTAACGATTTAGTCTATAGTCATAAATACTTTTGTTAAGATTTAATGAGTTTTCTTATATATGTTGATCAATTAAAAATCAATACTGAAATTTTTTTATGGTAAGAACTAAATTGTTACAAATGTTAAATTATAGGATTAAATTGTTACTTACTAAAGTTTAGGGTTAAATTATTACCAATTTAAAAATATATGAACTAAACCATTATAAATTAAAGTTTATAGATTAAATCGTTACTTTCAAGCAAAAAAAAAAAAGATAGGATCTAACTAATATTTAAATTTTGTCTGAGAACTTTAATTCCAAATATCAAACTTTCCATTGCTTTGAATTTATTTCTTTGTCTTGGTTGTATGTTTAGGGACAATTTGAACTTATGTAATAGTATTAAATTAGGTGTCGTTTGATAATTATTTTATTTGATATACGTGTATTTTATCTCGAACATTTAAATAGGTTTGATTCTTTATCTGATCATAAAAATCCACTTTAATTTCATTCTCTTTGGAATTGAACATCAAATACAATGATTTAATAAAGAGCTCGTTGGGATAGATGTAAATTAACAATATCCCAAAATCGTATAAGAAATTTTCTCCCAAGACAATTAAAAGTCTAGTTGAATAATTTTTTGGTATGTATATATATATATATATATATTTTTATCTTTTTTTAAACATATATTTTAATGTTTAGTCAAATCTAAAAAATGAAATTTTATTTTTTTAGTATTCAAAATTTAGTTTAGATTTCAAAATCTTTTTACATGTAAATAAGGTAAAATTTTTAATATATTATTTTTCTCTAATTCTTTCTAAAATTTCTCAACAACTTCTCTCCCTAGAATATCTCTCCTAAAAAGAATTGATTCTATAACTTCTATTTTCCATCTCTCTTAATTTTCTTCTGAAATTTATTTTTCTAACTTTTCTCTCAATCTCTATTGCTAGTATTTATCCCTCTATTTCTCCGACTTTTCGTTTCTCTATTTAATTATTATTTAAAGAAATAAAAAATAATTATCAAATATATTCGGTTTTCTATCTAATTTTAAAAGTAAAAAGACAAAAACTTGTTACTAAACATATAGTACGATTTTATATTTCAAAAACATAATCCAAAAATTTAATTCGCACATGGATCAATTGACTATGTCGTACAGCGGAACCAAATATTTTCTTAGAGAATCAAAATTTAAATTTTACATCATAATATTTTATATGCATATAGAGAAAATTTTTTAATTCTTCGTGCTTTTATATAATTTTTTTCGTTGAAGAACAACAAAACTCTCCACTAATTTTATAATATTATGATATTGTCTCATTTTAATTTATGTATCTATGATATCTCCTTATTATTTCGTGTTATTATTTCCTATTCACGAATTGCATAACATAACTACATTTTCACTGAAGCTTATGTCACTTATTTATTTGGCACCTAAGAATTTTGCCAACACGCTAAGTTAGGAGTATGACTATGATACAAATTGTTAGGGATCAGACGGACTCTCTCAACGTTTCCACAATTACATAATATTGTGTTTACTTTGGACATAAACTATCGTGACTTTGCTTTTGGTCATAATATTCTTCTTATCTAACCAAATGTAAGATTAAATCTTTTCTTAATCTTAATAAACTAAGAGAGAGCTTTCTTAATCATTTTCAAACGATATTGGTATTAATAAGCAACTTGTAATTATTGTTTATTTTATTATTATTATTATTATTATTATTATTTTGAGATAAGATACATGTGTTACATCCCATTCTACCACAAAATTATTCATCACCAAAAACCAACTTAAGGAAGGAACTATAGGGAGGTACATTAATATTTTGACATTTAACTAAACTAAACTAAATTAGAATGATAATGTTGTTAAAAAAAATCGAGTAAGAAATCTTAAACCAAAAATATTATAAACTCATATTAATATGACTATGTTCAATAAATTGAATTTTACTTAAAGTAAAAATGAAATTGAATGGACTAAAACGACCATTTTTAGAGTATAACGATCAAAATAATACTTTTCGAAAGTACAATAAATAAAAAAAAGTTGAAGGTTCAATAACCAAATAAAAATTTTGAAGGTAGAGATTAAAATAAATCAAAACAAAAAATACACGAGTAAAATATTATAGTATTTAAACATATTATTTTTCATGTGATATTTTTTTCGGCAATTCATAGGTTGGCCTATGGTAGTGATATTCAAATACTATGACTTATTCACGTGTTAAAAAGAAAAAGAAAAAAACTTATATTTTGAAAAAGCTAAAGACTAGGGCAACCTTCAAATTTTGGTTATATATTAATCTTCCATTTTTAGTAAAAAAAAGACAAACGAATCCTTTTGATTCTGTGTTTAGTTTGTCTAATTATAACAAACTTTTTCCAAATTGTTTCCTTTAAAAGCCTCACTCCAAACTCAATTTCTTCAAACCCACA